AGAAGAAACTGGGAACCCGAGTTGAGCACGCTTTGTTTGTCTCACTTGACTTAGGCGGGGATTAAACCTGGCTCCAACAGTGAAAGACGTATGTACAACCACTACCACCCTCACCAAAAACCTCAACCTCACCCAAATTGGCATTTAAAATCGCAATTTTAAGTCATAGAACAAGGTCTTCAAATCCCACTTTAGATGCGGGGAAAATGACTCTTAGGTTTAGCCACTGAACGAATTTGTGCTTACCGAAAATCCACCACAAGTTCTCAGATTTTTATTCTAAATGAAGGGAAATTTGAACTTTAATTGAATTTTCTAAATTTTTTAAAAGTTTCAAATACTTCGTGTGAATATGTGGTGGCGTAACACTACTAGTTTAAACTTAAAATACTCCTAACTATTCCCCCCTGAAGACTGCAAATCTCGAATGAAAATGAGGAACCAAAACTCAGGAAGGTCCATTTACATAACTAGTTTTTCCAAAGGGCACTTCTATTAAAGTATGTAACATGTAAATTAATAAATTAATAATAATAATAATAATAATAATAATAATAATAATAATAATAATAATAATAATAATTCTTTCAAATGTACCAAGAAATTTTGCATAAACACAGAAAAAGAGCTATTCTTATAATTATATTTATTTATATAATTATTTATAAAAGGTGAACATTTCATTTAGAAAACAATCATTTGTATAATCTCCCTTCAGAAAAAAGTGGTTTTATACCATTTTAAAAGCTACATATTTCTTTGAAAAGTACAGAGTATAATGATAAATCTCACTAATAACATCATCACTCACCACTTCAATAAGCTGCGAAAGCTTAAGACCAAGGTAGACAGTCAATGTTTCCGAGTTGTTCGTTACAGGTCGTATGAGGCGGTTGTAGTTGGACAGCAAGTCATCGTAAAGGCGCTTGGCATCAGGGTTGGCCTCATACGCATTGATGGGACGTAAGGCAGAGACTGCAGAATAAACGTTCGAAGATAAATAAGGTCAAGTTAAGAAAGGATGAGTCATAAAAATAGTCATTGTATTATAAGAAAAAGCATTTGAAATGTAAAAGGAGGTTCGGAGACAAAGTTAAAAGAAAATCGAAATGAGAAGAAAAAGATAAGCTGTCTTAAATTACTATTATCACTTGAATGATGAAGGAATAGTGAATAACGAAATATCAACTGAGCGAATTCCGACCACGTAAACCAAAGAAATGCATTCATCTTGCTGAAATAAAGCGGTAAAAAATGCTATCTTGAATTATCGCTCTATTTTGTAAATATGTTTTGATTGAATAATTTTGTATAACATATTTACCCTGAGGACGTAATGGAAATCCAACAAAGTATCTTATATCAACAAAGAAAAAAATTGGTAACGTGAGATCAATGATGAAGTGCTCGAGTACCGTAAGAGGTATGTGTTAGACTAAAATCGTAGGACTCTTTCAGTTACGATCATGAAAGATACGAAAAAAATATAAAGATGTGAGATCACACTCTTATTGAATGAAAATTTAAATTATTCTATCTTTGTCTGAATGCTGTGAGTGACATACTATATTCTCGCCGGGGCTCATTTCTATTTATAGAGCTGCATCGATTTTATGGAATCACTGGAGGTAACCCGTCAAATATGGCGGGTCGGAATCAAACACCCATTGTAATAATTTACTTTAATGAATAGTAGAAAACAATTTGATTTGATTAATGCTAAATTTTAGTTTGTTCTTTTCATTCGAAAACTTATTTTATTATATCTGCCACAGAAGCAGGAGGCTCGATCTTACTTTTCATTACATTTCATATCTTTTCCTCATTTTTTGGTTTTATACATTACTTTATATCTATAACACCAGTTATTCGAAATAAATCTGTTCTTTATTTCTTTTATTAATGGATTCGTAGTTCATTTAGTTGAATTCCCAAGGGTAGCCCACTGGTCGGAATACTCGCTTTCCAAGACGCGACCCCGCGTTCGATTCCTGGTCGGGGCAAATAATACAGTGCGCTTACACTAACACTAACACACTAACGCTAACACACAGACTTACACTAACATCCACAACACTACCACACATGCAGGGAGACCGTTCGGGAGCTTAGAGCTTGTGCCAATTGGGGCGGTGCCCCGCTGATGAGAAATACCTGGTTGACAGAAACCCCGCTAGCCGACGGTAGGTCCCCGCCGGATCTCGCCGTCTGGCGGGGGAAGATCTCCGCTACCTCCCGATGAAAACATGCTCTACTCTTTCTGAACTAATGATCTCAGTAGTTGACGCGTCCAGAATCACGAACAACCAACCAACCAACCAACATGTTAACCAAACGATGTTCATTGGCAAACGTAAGCTTCCGCGGACCCAACGATGTCTGTCCCCGGAGCGTAGCGAATGTGTGCGATTGCCCACGCACTTGCCCGGGGGCGCGTGCGGCGCTGGCTGCTGCGCAAAAGCGCCTGACACCCCTCCCAAACGGAAATGCGCGCCGCGGCTCATTTCTATTTATGGAGCTCCATCGATTTTGTGGAATCACTTCCAGGTAACCCGTCAAAAATGACGGGGGTCGGAATCAAACACCTATAATGATATTTCATTATAATGAATAGTAGAAAACGATTTGATTTGAATAATACTAACTTGAAGTTGTTGGGTTTTTTGCAATCGAAAACGTATTTTATTATTCTTACTAGCTTCGCAAACCGCGAAACTCTAGGGGGCAGAGAAGCGATTTTGGGGAAACTCTGAAGGTTTTTGCAATAATTGCTACCAGTTTCCACGCCCTCTGAACAAATGTAATTCAATGTCTCTGATATTTGTTCATGTCGTTTAGACACCGTTTCGTGCGTTCTCGGAATCCAACAGGTGCATCAAAACTTAGGACCCAGAAATCGCATGCACGTGGGCGCAACGCTCCCAATCCTCTGCCACGGGAGAAGCGAGATCGGTCTTCTCTCTTAAGGTCGACCTCCCCTATTGTTTTCATTTTTATTTTATTTTATTTCCGTTCCTAATTTTTTTTAATTTTTACAAAATAGTTTTGTTCTATGACACGTTTATTGAATTAAATCTTTATTTTCGTTTACTTTATTAATTAACTGACAGTGCATTTAGTTGAACCAGATAGTGCTTATAAAATAGATCCCCTGTAACTTTTCCCTAATAACCAGCGTTGTATATCCCTATATCGAATGCGGTATATTGCCCATGCAATTGCCTATGCGTTTGCCCTCGCGATTTCCCACGCGATTGCCTACACGATTGCCCACGCGATTGCCCACGCGATTGTCTATGCCATTGCCCACTGATTTCCCACGCGATTGCTCACGTGATTGCCTTTGCAATGCCTATACGATTGCCCATGCGTTTGCCCATGCGTTTGCCCATGCGATTGCCCATGCGATTGCCCATGCGATTGCCCATGCGATTGCCCATGCGATTGCCCATGCAATTGCCCACGCGATTGCCCATGCGATTGTCGCTGAGATTACCTATGCGATTGCACATGCAATTGCCCACGCGATTGCCCATGCGATTGTCCATGCAATTGCCGATGCGATTGTCTATGCGATTGCCCATGCGTTTGCCTATGCGATTGCCCATGCGATTGCCCACGCGATTGCCCATGCGGTTATCCATGCGATTGTCCATGCGATTGCCTATGCGATTGTCCTTGCAATTGCCCATGCAATTGCCCATGCGAATGCCCATGCGATTGCCCACGCGATTTCCCATGCAATTGGCCATGCAATTGCCCATGCGATTGCTCATGCGATTGCCCACGCGAATGCCCATGCAATTTCCCACGCGAACGCCCATGCAATTGTCGCTGCGATTGCCCACGCGAACGCCCATGCAATTGTCGCTGCGATTGCTTAGGCGATTGCCCATGCGATTGCCCACGCGATTGTCCATGCGATTGCCGATGCGATTGCCTATGCGATTGCCGATGCGATTGCCGGTGTGATTGCCTATGCGATTGCTCATGGGATTGCCCATGCGATTGCCCATGCGTTTGCCCATGTGATTTCCCATGAGATTGCCCATGCGATTGCCCATGCAATTGCCTGTGCGATTTTCCACGCGATTACCCATGCGATAGCCCATTGGATTACTCATGCAATTTCCCATGCGATTGCCTGGGCGTGCGCGGTGCTGACTCCTGTGGAAGAGCGAATACCATCCCTCTGAAACTGATAATCCGAATTGTGCTTCGCGAATTCTACCGAAATGTACCGCATATGTCATTGCTGTGGCACCATATTTTATATCGACCCGATCAGTGTGTAATTTTGTATTACTTGTCGAGCAGCTTTTTTCGGAAAAATATTTTTTGGCAGTATGTTTTCAAGCCATAGGGAATAATAGTAAAAAATATCAAGTGTCTATCAGGCTTCAGGTGCTATAACATGACGATACAGATTTGTGGACGATGTAAATTATATTGAATAATATTGTTTTTCAAATCATAGAACTCTTCTAAATGAATTTTCCCGATTCAGTCGGAGATGTCGCTACCCGCAGTAAAAAAGACGTATGAAATATGAAATCACTATCACATGACGAATTCATTATCACATATAAATGTATCGGGAAGTACTGTCTGTCGATTCTTTTTGCACAAAGCTGATGTCCTCGATTGCATTTCCGTGTATTTGGAAAAAATCGCTTTCAAAATATTTTAATACAGTTCTTTTACGAGGACTCAACGCATCCAAAAGGAACCAAAAGTTACTCATAACGGCTGGCGTTCGTTAAGAATAGAAACAAATGAGTTGTAGCTGGAAATGGCGGATGAGTACTTCTACTCCAAGGAAAGATATTTCTTATTTATTTTTCGTATCATAAGTAATGAAATTTTCATTACGTACTCTTTATCGGCCTAATGACAGTAATAACTGTACTGCAGTAACAAGAAAAATATCCGATAAAATGTTGGCGGGATGAAGCTTTGTATTTTCAAGCGAAAGTACATAAGTTATCGACTTTTGTACTCGTTAATCCTTGAAGTAACGCACGTTGATATGCGTAAGATTTTGAAGGCTCACTTTAGCCAGTGACCCAGTCTGTATTTATTATAAATAGCTGTTTTATGGCGATGCAATCTCAGTAATACTGGTGTTAACTATTGAACGAAAGTTCAAAATGATTTATGAATTATTTACGAATTTCGAAAAGAAAATAAAGAGGTATTCGTTCAAGGTTTCAGATACTATCATTCATCACATTGAAACCTACGAAAAAGAAAACTATGTCATTTTTCTCGGAAACGAGCTCCGGTCATATTTCTTGTAATGGATTAACTTAGGAATTATATTTACCGTCCTTTCCTTTCTCCAAGCCCAGCGACTCTATTCATTTGTTTCTCTTTAAGTTTCCTGCTGAAACCTTGTTTCCTCTGGCCCGTGCCTTCCCCGCTCAGCCTCTCAAGTGTCTGACCTCCTTTATCTTTACCTGGGGACGTCACGCAACTCAAAAAATTCGTCAGCATCGACCAGGGACATTAAAAGTTAACCCAGAGACTGGCAATGCTGCTCGCCTACGGAGTGAGTCGCCGTAGCAGAGACAAAGTAGGGGACCAAGCAAGAACCATGGAAATATCTTCTTCTCTCTCGTACATCCACCTGCCGCCACCGCCCTTCAAAGTCTGCTTCTTGGGCCCGCCCACGCTTAAACTCTTAAACTCTTTCGTTGACCTCTCTGCGCTGGGCGGTCCGTTTGCCAACGCAAATATAAAACATCAACGCAACATCAACAAAATACGCTAGATAGCATCAACAACTTTTTTGTCGTTATTTTTTTCACCTTAATATTATTTGAGTCATAAATCTCTTTCTCTCCACCGGGAGAGGTGGCTCAGGGCATCAACTGATGTCACTGCTGTGCATCTGACCGGAAGGTCCCAGGTTTGAGTTCCGTTGGTGCCACGATTTGCGACACTAGCTACATAGATAGGTCGAGTTCAGTAGCTGTCTGGCGGAAAATTCTGGCCGCCAGCTGCTCTGATGGGTATTTTGCCGTGGTTTCTCCAATCAATATCAGTCGAATGCAGGAGCAGTTCCCTTACAAACGGGTCACGGGACGCGGGAATCTTTCCTTCTCTTGCTTATCCTATCCTAACCCCTAACTTACACTTACATACAAAACAATACCACACATGCCGGGACACCAATCGAGATCTCTGAGCGTATTCCGGCAGGGACAGTGCCCCGCTAGTGGGAGATACCTGGTTAGGAAAAAACCGCTAGGGTAGGTCGTTGCAGGATCTCACCATCCTGCGGGGGAAGATCAGCGCCACCTTCTGAAAAACATGCACTACTCATACGGCACCAATGGCCTTAGCAGTTGATTCTCCCAGAATCATGAATCAATCAATTAATCAATATTTATTTATTTCCAGCATTTGTCTGTGCGAACTTTATGTGCTCTAACGCCTGAACAGAGCTTTCCCTTAATCGCCTAATTTTTTATCCTACACATCTTTGCATTTCGAACTCATTTCCTTACAATTCTACTCATGAATTATTAATTTCGTCCTTCTCTGATAATTATCTATATCATACTACTCGCCCTTATAATCCATTAAAATATCGACTATGTGGAAACTTTGAAGTCTAACTAATTTTTTTCTTATTGTAGTTGCGACTTGTCAGAACTATTCTACTACATTACATTCGTTCTTGACATTCCAACTTTGTTTTGTCATTTCCATCATCCCAAGCTCCTCCTTAAACATTCACTCCTCTTACATTTTTCATTCGCGCCTCCATGCGCTGTCTTTCTCTTATCTCTGCAACCTCCTTTGCCAAGAAGGCGACGATGCGTCTAAGGAAGGTAGTTAGAGAGCGAGCAAGGCCACCCTTCTCACCCTATGCCGCTGCAAGAGCTCTAATAGACGTCTGAAAGCGGCTCAGACAGATAACGAGACGGCAGTAGCGAGGACAATGAACGAGAATAATCCCCCTTCGTCTCGAGAGAACTCTGATTGTGTAGAGTTCGCTCGGTTCATTACAGTGGCTTCATATACCCATTCATACTTTCAGTCATATTTGCATATATGTATTCTATAATAAGGATTACCACTCGCTTCCATTAGGACACATTTACTTGTTGTTCGAGAACATGTTCCAGAAACGTCAAGTTCTAAAAAATGGATAAATATTGACGTGAGCAAGGTACCCAATATCCGCGACTAACAGAAAAGATTTACAGTAAAATGTCCCTTAATATTTGGTATTTTGAATATTAACCATTGAATACAAATTATAAATGCATGAGGAGAGAGGAATGTAGGTGATAGGACAATGAAAAACATGTTGCCCAAGGCCCAGTTCGCAAGCAGATCGCTGCCGCAAGGGTCAGCCACAGGTTGGCTAGCCTGTGGGATATCTGAAGCCATCACGCGGCGAGAGGGGTGTTCATGTAACAAGTACGCACGTAGTTCACTCAGCGAAGCGTCCGCTTATCGATTCATTCTGAGAGCAGCAATGTCACTTCCGAAAATGGGTGCGTTCCCGCGAAAATGAAGGAACCCTCAGCGAACAATTAGCATCGAAATGAGCCTCGGGCAAGGCAGCGGTGAGAGGTTGGAGGAGGCGGGGAAGGGGGAGGGGGTTGAGAAGAGAGCAAGCAGCGGCGCGTTGAGATGGGATGGGGGCGCGAGAGCCCCGCCTCAGGCGGATGGCCTCACCTGCCAAGGCGTTGTAGAGGCAGCTGATGACGAGAAGCGCCGCTCGATGCATGGCGCGCGGCGGGCGGCGCTGGCACGCCCCGCTGCTGGCTGATCAGGCGCTCCTGGCTAGCGCGGGCGCGTCCCCGCCGGTGCGAGGGTCTCGCGACCCGCCCCGATGGTCCAGCCGCAGCATCACGACAGCGACATGGCGCCTGACCCCGCCCGCGCCCGCCGCGCGATCGATCGCGGCGGCGCTGCGCTCTAGCGGACGCTCTCTGAACTTTCAGGGCAGCACAAGCGGTCCACAAGCAACGGGATATGGCTCGTGTTTTAGAGAAGCGGCCGCTAGATGGCTCTTGCGACAATTGTTTGAAGTCAGCAAAACTTCTTCTAAGTTGTTTTATCACGTACGACAGTCAAAGTTTCGGTAAAGAATATGTTGTTTTTTCTATGAATTTTCCAAAGGTGACAATTATTTAATATGTTGTTGATAAATACATTGTGCAAAAGCATGCAAAAATCAGTCCACATCACCTGAACATAAACTATGTCAAGAGGTCATGTAAATCCAGTAATCAATTGATGGGAATATTCCATTTTCTGACAGGGGGTGATTCATTGATGTATTTCATCTCCAACCCCCACTTCACACATTCCCCCCTCCCCTTTCATTTTAAGCTCTCTATTTGTTTCTAATTTATATCAGAATGACATTCATTTTCATTATATATTTTCTACTACATAAAAAACATATCTAAGTCCTTAATACGTTTACTGAAATTATAAGAGATCAGTAGAATCAGTCGTGTGGTTGAACTTCCTGGAATCACGCTTTCCTGGAAGCAGACCTGTTGCACATGCAAGACGACACAGGAGATCGATAGGGTTAGCACCTATTCATTCGCCCGCTGAAATTATTAATACCTGCCAAATCAATAGGACCATGAGGCTTGCCTAAGCTGAATGAATATAGTTCGACTGATTGATGTGGATTTATGATTGTGTTTTAGTGATTCTCTTTATATGATGAGTCATTTATATTTTGTATTGGAAATTATTTTATTTTAACTAAAATTTGACAATAGATCTTACGAATTTACATTTTTTTGGTTTCTCACCATGTACGTCAGCAATGTTTGTAACAAACTTCGTAACGAAAAATGCCAATTAGAATAAATCTATAATGATTCTAAAAATTACATTACAAATTCCATGAAAGAAATTTTAATTTATTAAAGACAAGTGGAATAAATCACTTGTCTTTAGACACGGGTCTGGTGATTTCGCGACATAATTTTACAGTTCGACAGTTCATGAATAACAACATATACTGGTCGACGGCTAACCAACATCTTGCTTTTCCCAGGGGCGTACCAGAAGGTGTACTCGATGCCCTTCCGAGGCTCACCCGTACCTTGTCCGAGGTTCATCACCTAATCGGTCACACAGGTCAGCAGTCTCAACGGGGCTCACCAACTGGTCGCTAAACGGTTCACCAGCTATTCTTCCACGGTTCCTTTACGTCTGTGCCACACGAGCGTGACGTTGACTCGCGATAAGTAACGCGCGTCGTAACACTTATCTTATGCGGAACTGCCAAAGCGCTCGTGTGCCGTTTCGCATAAGACGTAGTATCATTCAACAACGCGCGTTACTTATCGCGAATCAACGCAACGTTCGCGTCCTTTAACGTTCACCAGCGGCTTATCAGAGTTCACCAGCTGTTCACTAGTTTGAGTCCTGCATTTCACTTGTGCATTTCCAACGGCTCACCAGCAGTTCATCGGCGACTCAAGCCAAAGCGCACGGAGAGATTGCGGCGAGCGGCCTGACGAAGCAGCGTCGCCAAGAAAGCTGTCAGCTCATTCGGACGCAGATCCTCTGGAAATATAAAAACACAAACGAGCTCTTACATTACGAAACTTTCTAAGAGAGAGATCACAAAAAGAGAATGAAACAAGTTCAAGATTTATTTTTAATATCAAACTAATGAGTGCCCATAGAATTTTGTATTTAAAATACTGTCCCTACATTTGCATTTTAATGTTCCAATTCTGCAATAATCGAATATCATTTCTGTTTTCCTTCTCACTCTGGGACCAAACCAATCCGGCCCGTGAGATCAGTGAATTGAGATCAGTGGTTTCGAGCGGTTCAACTACAAATAGCATTACTCCTGTAAGTGTAGTGCGTGTTTTATCGCTGTGACGACATCCGGCGCCGACCAACATGTCAGCTTGTAGATCATTTCCCCCACCGGGAATCTCCCACCAGCGGGACACCACCGCAGCCGGGACAATCTCTAAGCTCCCAACTGGTCCCCCAACACGTGTGGAAGTGTAGTGCATGTAAGTGTAAGTGTGTGTGAGGGTACGGAAGAGGAAGGGAAGATCGTGCGCGGTCCGTTGCCCGTTTGATAGGGGACTCTTCAGGCATTCGCCTGGTATTGATCGGAAAAACATGAACTGCAGCGTGATTCAGACGCTGTCTGGAGGAGAATTCTAGCGGACGGCTGCTCTGATCGGTTGTTTTTTCGCGCCTTTTCCGATCAATATCAGGCGAATGCCGGAGCAGTCACGGAGCACGGACAGCCCTCGAGCATTCTTTCCATTTACTCGCTTTATCCTCACCCCTTACACTCACTTGCACTTATATGCACCAATCTAACACATGCCCGGAGACCAGACGAGAGCTAAAAGCATGTCCCGGCTTAGCAGTGCCCGGCATTCCGACGTAGGTCGGCGCCGGATCTCGCCAGCCAGCGGGCGAAAATCACCGCGATCTCCCCCGATAAAAACATGCAGGTCTAATGACCTTAGTAGTTGGCGTGCCCGGAATCTCTAATCAATGAATCAATCAATAAAAACTGCAGGTTGAGAGCGCCCTGGGCAACGCCTACCTAGGTGCGTGGCGGGGGTGAAGGCGGCGAGGACGGAGGCGCGGCTGGCGGGCCGTGGCGAGTGGCGGTCGGCCGGGGTGAGGCTCCGGAAGCGCACCAGCGGGTGGTAGGGCAGGTGGCGCTTGGGCGGCGGGGGCGCCAGCACCAGGAACACCAGCCCCGCGGTCGCCGGCGCCGCCTCCTCCGCCCGCAGCTCTGTCGATGGCGGCGGAGACGGTGGCGTCGGCTCGCCACCCGCGCAGCAGGGTTCCAAAAGCAGCCACTCTGCGGACACACACGTTGCAGGAAGCTTGTTGATAGGCGAACTCCGCCTTGGAGCAAGGCACGAAACGAAATGGTGCGCGTTAAAGAAACGGAAAATTATGGCTTTCTATCAACTAAAATAGAAATTACTGTTCAACAATAGTGCCATAAGCAGAATGCCTATTTGATGAGTCCGACAGGACGACACTGTTGATGCTTCTAATTGCTAGCTCGAAACCCTCGACGGACTCATTACGTAGGTATTCTGCTTACGACGCTATTGTTGAACCTTACTAAATGTGAGTTCCATACTAAGATCTGGTCATGGTGATTCGTTCAGTTGCAAAGCATACTGCGATTTACTGGTACCGAGATGCCGCAAGCGGAGCTGCAATGGCATTGCACGGAGGAAGACACTTCATCAGGAAAAGAATGTCGCTTAATAGCAGCTAACCCCGAAACTGAACATCATAAAATACAGTATTAAGTGAAGCCGAAGACATAATAGTTGCTGAAGTCTCTGCAAAATGGGATAGAAAGTGAATAGTAGGTGTGGCTTTAATAGTGGTTGGTTATAAGAAAATGGCACCAATAAATTGATAATTTCCTGGTTCCCGCGAATATGGGATAAAATCAGTGATGAAATTATTGACATATTGTATTCCTAGATGACAACACACGATGGATCAAAAAATAACAAACTGAATTGTTTCACGAATGAACGAGAATTTGAAACCGAAATGCGCAGTTTTCGAGAGCTACAATCATCTCAAGACTAACAGATCTCAAGAGCAGCAATTCGAGACACCGTGCACATATTGCACTTCTTTCCACAGTACGTCACGCGATTTTTAACTTTTGTTGATGTTAAATAAGTAAATAAATAAATAAACATTGTCTTGGATCGCAGCAAGAGAAGATGGAGTCGTATTTGCAAATGACACAGACGATTTGCATGTTTATAGTAATATTTAAAGAACGTATTTTCATTTTTTTCTTAATTTCACACAGTGACCCGGTTTTAATCCTAATATAGGTATCAAGAATTGCCACGATAAAAAATTACGGCTCCAGGAGAAAATTATTTATAATCTAAAGTAACAAAACATGTTGAATGTATCTTTTGCGGTGTACATAATGTTATAAATAAGTTTGTGGATTAGGGTACTTGTAAATTCATCAATACCTCTGCAAAGAAAAACAATTTCATAGCAACTTAATCTTGTAGTTATTCTTGGAGTAAAATAGAACAGTTGATTATTGTATATTTAATATTTAAGTTTTCTCAAGTATTTTCTAAACATAAGTAAAATATATTAAAATTGAGGTAGAGTTATTATATAATTAATTATCAAAAAGGGGTTTATACTCTTGTAGTATGTTAACTGACTAGATTTCTATGTCCGGCTTTGCTTACTCAGGGATCTTTTGAGACGAATTTCGGATGAAAGAAGCCGAAGATCATAATTCAACAATACTTTCGAAAAAACATTATTTTAATAATTCTCGTCTAATTAATCGAGATTCAATCTACAATCGTTTAAAATACTGTTACTCCACCGTAGAGATATTCTATTGTAGAAATACTCCATATGAGAAACCAAACTTGTAAAGTCGAAGTCAAACTCGTAAAGTCGAAGTCAAACTTGTAAAGTCGAAGTCAAACTCGTAAAGTCGAAGTCAAACTCGTAAAGTCGAAGTCAAACTTGTAAAGTCGAAGTCAAACTTGTAAAGTCGAAGTCAAACTTGTAAAGTCGAAGTCAAACTTGTAAAATCGAAGTCAAACTTGTGAAGTCGAAATCAAACTTGTGAAGTCGAAGTCAAAAGTGTGAAGTCAAACGTGTGAAGTCAAACGTGTGAAGTCAAACGTGTGAAGTCAAACGTGTGAAGTCAAACGTGTGAAGTCAAACTTGTGAAGTCGAACTTGTGAAGTCGAACTTGTGAAGTTGAACTTGTGAAGTTGAACTTGTGAAGACGCTTGTAAAGAAGAAGCGACTTCAAAAAATAATCCAAACAATGCAAATACAGTGCATCAGGAAAGTATATTCGCATTGTCACCATGCTGATATGAGTGATAGCAATAGAAATTATGTTGGTATCACGAGTACAACGAACTGGGACAGTCCGAAGGATGTAAACGATGTGGAGCTGGAGGGGTCGAGATGAGAGCACGCATACGACACTAGCGCGGCTGAGGACGGAACGGAGGAGGCGGCAAGCTCTGAATCGGATAGGGCCTGAGAGGCAGAAATACAAAGCGATTATTCAAGATATTTTCTTGATCTCTAGTAACACTTCATTTCTTGAAATAAATTCAATTTACTCAGAGGGTATCCTATCCAATTACATAACTGTTTCCAACCCCTTTTGCATGAGACCGTCCGACTATAAAGTCGAATCGAAAATGAATATACACATACTCGCGATTTTTTTAAAATTCGGGGTAGATTATTTTCATGCCTAGTAATCACATAAGTACTCAAATGGAATCCATAGACTTGACAAATTCAGTCCTACTCCAAGTCTGCTCCTTCCCACCCTGATATTAAATGTTTAAATTTAAAAAAAGACTGGGTGATTGAACGAAATGAACGGTTGTACATGTGTGAGTGATTGAACAAATCATCAAACAAAATTGAATGAATGAGAGAGAGGAAGGGGAAATGGAAGAGTCTTCATGAGACGCCTCTTACCGTAAAAAGGCTCCGCCCCCACCTCTAGGGCCTGGAGTTCGGCTACCACTTGTGGCGCGCGCGCCGCCACCAGCACCAACGCCAGGAGCGGCGTCAACGCCGGCACCAGCGACTGGTGCAGAAGCGCCATTGGGAGCCGAATGTCCTGGCGACGCCCGTCGCGCGGGTTTTGTACCCTCAGCCGCCGCTGCTGCCGCCCTTCCCTCGCCCACTCTCTGCGACGGAGTCCGCTTTCATCCACCATTAGGAGTCTCTCAGGAGCAGAAGATCTCCTTTGGCTGTGAGTCCAGAAAGGGAAGAATGAAAACGTCCAATTTTTTTCCGCTTGTTGTTTTACATTAATAAAAATAACTCATACTATACGTTTGTATTGTTGTTGAATTTTACAGCATAACAGTAGTGGGTAAAATTGTGTGTTTATATACTCAATTTTTGCACCCAATGAGAACAAGAACAAACCCTTGAATGAATCAAACACCAAAGAAAATACTGAACTAGTCTTACCTCTAAAAACAAAATTATATTTGTTTATGATTTTATTGAAGATAAACATTGATTATACTTTTAAAGAATTTCAACTTCTATCTAAAACAACAGTTTGCATGCATTATATAAATTAGGATAGTTATAATAAACGAGAAATGTATATTGAATGTACTATGACTTTTCCCGTAGTGAATGCACTAACTTTTGTGAGAATTCTAATAACAATAGCAAATGCGGATGTGCAGGTTCCAAACGAAGGAGATTCCCTTTCCATACTCGTGAAAATAACCTACCCTTGATAATGCCAGTGTTGCAAAAAATATCGATAACGAGACGTGTGCACTTCGCCTACTGCACATGCCTCAAAACGAACATCTTAACAGGGCAGCAATCCGATGCTAACGAAAGCCGTCAGGTGAATCAAAGCACGCCAAAGTCTCATGCCTGCTCTCACATCCTCTCCTCGTCCTCATTCCATCCTCTTTCGCAGTAAGGAGGTCTGTAATCCGGGCGTACGTTCGCCCTTTTCTCGAAAGATGAAAGGTTCAAGTTTCAAAAGAAAGTAAATCAGTGCCAGAAAGACGAATGATTCTTGTATTTTTGAATCTGTTTCTTTCTTTAATTCACACATTCCGGAACAATTATTTTTTTCTTCTGTATTCAAATCTTAATACAATGTGTCAGGGTTTCTGTCGTAATCTAGTGGAGAGTATTAATCTCCCTTAAGACATTTTTTCTCAGTGCCTGCATTACGAAGTAGCAATCTCTGCTTCGATATCCAAACACATGTATGTCTTTGCACAACTCAGTTCTATTTACTATTGAACCACTTACATTTTTTTATAAAAAGCCATCAATTAAATTAAGATATCTAGTTTATTTCTGCTAGCAGTTAGTCATCACAAAATTGCAGTACTAATTATTCATCAAAATTCTTATAGAATCATTACTTGTGTGTTTTCACACTTAATTTTACTTATCTTTCTTAAGAACTGCTCTTTTTATCAAAAAACAATCAGAGAACGTCTGAAAGCTATGTAATATTCATATGGCCCAGCACAAGTGCTTCGAAGGAAAGAGGGAAAACATAACGAACGACTAAATGTTATAACAATCATAAATTAAGACCTAAAGAGAATTAGAAAAGAATTATTTAAAATTAAAAATTAATAGTAGTGTGCAGATAAATCGATCATACGCGTGAACAAGAAGAAATGTGTATTATATCAATAACAAGGCCACCTTAAAAAAGTCATAATATAGTCATTTTTCTGACTCTTCTCAACCATGTCTTCTGTTGTAGTTTTTATAATAATAGGCTACAAAACATTTTGTCAGTGAGAAAGATCTCCTTCACGAAGATGAATAGATGAGTTACAATACAAGTATTCACTAGTTCAAGTACATTCAAGTAATCGCGAGTATTCACATTTGAGTTATTCCAACTAGCGCTCTCCTCTTTCACAATCTTTCAAATAGCGTCGTGGTAAACCCCGAGCCTGCACCTTCTCAGCAAACAGGCCTGTCATTTTGAGGCACCGCCCACCTCGTCATCGGATATGCGCTCGCACGGCACAGCACTAGCCTGCGTAAGGCTGCCCCTCCGCCACCGCCGCCCTCCACCCTCACCCTTACCTCACCCCTCCTCCGCCGCGATGGCAGCCACCTACAGCTGGCTCACCGACAAACCTAGTAAGTATGAACCTGCCTCCGTCGAATCCCATCACCTCGCCATCGTTTTCCAGCTCCGGCCCCACGACTGCCCACCCGCCACCGCCACGCCCACGCCGCCACCGCCACCGCCACCGCCACCGCGCCACCGCCACGCCACCGCCACCGCCAGCCGCAACTTGCCAGCCGCCGCCGCCAGCCGCCACCTGCCACCGCCCACCGCCACCGCCGCCACCGCCGGCCAACCGGCCGCCACCGCCGCCACGCGCCGCACTACTATCACCGGTCAACACCGGCCCGCCACCTCCTTCGAAACCCCCTTAATAATTTTCACTCAATATCAATCACTCCCTGTCATTGCAGTGCCTTCCTCCTCCTTCACCTAGAGGGCCAGAGGGCAAAGACAAATAAACGACTAAGCAACACAAAACAAACTGTTAAAAAGACTGACACGCTGTGCACGCCGCGTCGACACGCCCTCCTGCAGACCTCTTCCCTCTCACACCACCCATACACCTCCCCTCCCATCCCTGTCCCTCCCCTTCCCCACCCAGTCATCCAAAACGCTCATAAAACAACACTTCTCTCCATAAACAAAATAACCCGTCTACCAACAACCGAGACTCACGATCCCCGTCCCCGTACGAGGAAGAAGAGTGAAAAGCCCTAAAGAAAAACCTGCCAGAAGCCCCCAGTTCGAAGAGACTCCGCAAGGGGTCATGCGAACGTAATTAAAAATCTAAGGAGACGTTTTTTGCAGTTCCTCTGACCGGGTGCTCCGAGGAATCAAGTCCCGACAGTAGCAGGATATTCAACACCGACAACATAGCTAGGTCGAATCCATCCGCTGTCTGAAGGAGAATTTCAGCGGCCAGCTGCTCTGATGGGGGGTTTTCCATGGTTTCTTTGATAAACACCAACCGAAGGCTAGGGCAGCCGAGGGCTAGGGCACAAACAGGGCACTGACCGCGCGCTATCTTTCCTTTGTCTTCCTTGTTCTATCCTCACCCCTTACTTGCACATGCACACTTACACACATATATGCACCATACTACCACACATGTCGCGAGTCCAGTAGGAAGCCGGGGCTGGATCTGATCATCCAGCGAGAGAAAATCACCGCCTCCTTCCGCGATAAAAATGTGTATTACACAAACAGGACTTATGACCTTAGCAGTTGACGCGCTTGGAATCATTAATTAATCAATCACGTCTTTACAGCTTCCTCCACCGCCGTTTCCATCGTTGAATATCCCCAGCAGCCGTGCCACCAACAAGTCCTCCCTTTCTTCTTCAAAACACCCTGATGCAACAGGTCGAAATCATTCTGTCACATCCAATTTATCCTTCGCACGCTTTCGACACCCGGCGCACCACCCATTGCACTAATACAACCAACTGAACGTCAATTTGTTTTTGTCAAAAATGACTTACTTAAGAGCGGGAATATATTTTCAGCAAACCCCGTTTTCTATAACTACAACACTCGACATAGCAATCATAATTATCTGGTGATAGTATCAACAGTTCACTACAAAAAACTCACATATAATACATGCACATTATTACATGCCTTGCCAGATGACATTAAACGATTAAATTCGATGCAAAAGTTCCAAGTAAAATCTTTTCTTCTGCACAAATGTTTCTATACAATTAGAGACTATTCCGAGCATCCAAAAGGAAAGTAATATTAATTTCAACAATGACATTTAATGTATTATTTACCATTTGGATGGTATAATTCTAAAAAAACTGTAACAAGTATAATACTTCAGCTTCTGGGTCCATGACCCCCATCTCGATCAGGTTTTTGTCCAGTTTCCCTGATCCTTGAGCAAATGCTGAGATGGCCTCCTGTTTTGCTTCTCAACACAAATATAACTTCAAATTAACTTCTCCCCGTAGCACATAACACACAGTTTTTAACTGTTTTTGACGAAAATAAATAAATTAATTAATCTGAATTCCTTTGACAATCACATCACGCCTCTTTCTTCTCCACTACTGCCGTCTCATCCTGGCATCCCGCTGTTTTGTCTCCCCTCGCCGCCGCTCAGTCGCTATCACTCCCAAATTCACTCTATTTCACCACAACAACAACCTCCGACTCCGCCCCTAGTATTCATAACGCTTTGGCGTCATATCGCCTATTGAGAAACACACGAGCCTTTGTCTGAAAGTCATCATCTATGCAAAAGTAATTTCTACTAGTAGTAACAAATACTTGTATATTGAACGATATTACACAAGTCTCACGAATTTTCCCAAGCAAATAGTTGGGATATAATTTCATCTCTTGCAGATTAACAGATGAAAAATTATTTATTTAGATATCATTTAGTTGTGTTAGCTCAACATCGCTCCGATTGCCGCTATTACCATCATAATATACACTATCTTTCCCATAGTTGTTGCCATTCCTTCCCCTAATTCTCCTCTCCTCCTCCTCCTCCACTCGTCCTCCTCCACCCGTCCACCTCCTTCCTTCCTCCTCCTCCCGTCGTCCTCCTCCTACTTCCTTCCTCGTCCTCCTCCTCCTCCCGTCATCCTCCTCCTCCTCCTCTCGCCCTCATCCTCTCGTTCTCCTTCTCTCGTCCTCCTCCTCTCGTCCTCCTCCTCTCGTCCTCCTCCTCTCGTCCTCCTCCTCT